GGGTGGGGGACCGGGCCCCTCCCCCCCCCCCCCCTCCCCTTGGTGATGGTAGGGGATCTGTGGGTGACACCCAAGCTGGGGGGGGTGTCGCTGATGCATGAAGGGAGGCTGTGGTCCCCCAGTGCCTCTGCTTATGTTTACCCATCCATCCTTGACCCTGCAGGCCCCAAGGCTGGCTCAGTGGCTGGCTCCCCGCCTGGCTCCCCACCTCTATGTCCCACCTCAAGAATGTGGAGGCCCGGATCATGCAGTGTGAGTGCCCCCCTTCCCCCCCCAGACAGGGATGGGGCCAGAGGAGGGAAAGTGCCTCTGAAGATGCCATCCCCATCTCTCTCTTGGGGGCTCTTCTTAGGGTTCCCCATAGGGTGACCAGCAGTGGGGCAGCTGTGAGCTCTATGGGTGCATCAGGTTAGGGCTGAAGAGTAGGGATGGGTGGGGGAAGCATGTGGGCCTTGGGGATGGGGAGGGGAAGTCCTGTGGGAGGACTGGGAGTAGGGCTTGGGCTAGGCTGGGCAGGGGTCTGTGGGACCAGGGGTTGGTGGTAGGGCCTGAGGTGTGCCCTCTCTGAAGAGGTGTTAGCACTTGAGGGGATAGGAATGCCTAGAGGGGTCTGTCTTCCAACAGGGAGGAGGGTGGGGGACCTGGAATACTCTGGGCTTTGGCTTTAGGGGACCCTTCCTTCATGGGGGCAGTAGGCAGCCTGGGGGGGCTGTATTGCCGGTGGGGATGAGGAGAGAGTCCAGCGTTGGGTAGAGGACCCTGGGGGCAGGTACCTCTATGGTGTTGGGCACTGAGCAGCAGGATTGCCTATAGGGGGTGCCAAGGGTAGGCAGAACTGGAGCGATTTGGGACAAAGGGCTGGGCTGGGGAAAATATATTTGGTGGAGCAGCAGCAATGGGCCTGGAGGAAGAGACCTCACAAAGGGCTAGAGTGGAGGAAGGCCTCTGTAGGGGGCTGGGATGAGGGGGCCTAGGCCTGGCTGATGCTCCCCTCTGCCCCTCCTGCTGCACCCCACAGGCCTGCGGAGCCCGTTCATGGGACGCTACGTGACACTGCCAAACCGAGCGCGAATTTGGACTGTGTCTCTGCGCCAGGAGCGGGATGAGAGCCGGACCCCGCTGGTGCTGCTGCATGGATTCGGGGGTGGCGTGGGGCTCTGGGTGCTGAACCTGGACGCCCTGGGTGCCCGGCGGCCCCTGCACGCCTTCGACCTGCTGGGCTTTGGGCGCAGCTCCCGGCCACCCTTCCCCCGTGATGCCCAGGAGGCTGAGGATGCCTTTGTGGGCTCCATTGAGGCCTGGCGCCAAGAGATGGGCCTCAGCAGCATGATCCTGCTGGGGCACAGCCTGGGCGGCTTCCTGGCTGCCTCCTACAGCCTGCAGTACCCTGAGAGGTGAGAGATACCCCTGAATCCCCCTGGCTATGGGCCACCACACCCAGACCAGGAGCCCCCTTGTCCAGCATCATGTGCTCCCATGCCTGCCATGGTCTGTGCTTGCTGTAGAGAGGAATCCAGGCCCTCTGCCTCCCCATTGCCATTACAGGGGGATGTATAGGGAATGGGGGCACCTGGCCCCCTACCCCAGAGTCCTGGCACTTCAAGGGGCATCCGGCCCCCTGGTCCTGTGTTTGGGGTCACAACTCTGTGGGGTATGTCAGGTGAGGGGGTTGGGGTCACTCCACATCTCCTCCTCTTTGCTGGGGTAATGAGGGAGGGGACAATAGAAGCTGGTGGGGGAAGGTCATGATGATGGAGAGGGGACGCCTCTGATCCTCTGTGTGCTTCCTCCTTGGCTCAGGGTGAAGCACCTCATCCTGGTGGACCCGTGGGGCTTCCCAGTGCGGCCCGCTGACCCCAGCCAGACCCATGCTCCCCCTACCTGGGTGAAGGCCGTTGCTGCTGTCCTGGGGCGTTCCAACCCCCTGGCTGTGCTGAGGGTCGCCGGCCCCTGGGGTGAGATGCTGGGGCCAGGGGGACTGGGGATGGGGAGGGAGCTGTATCTTGGGGTCAGGCTTGCCCCCAATCCTCTTGCTCTGCCTGTCTGTCCATCTAGGCCCCAGCCTCGTCCAGCGCTTCCGGCCTGACTTCAAGCAGAAGTTTGCAGAGTTCTTTGAAGATGACACCATCTCTGAGTACATCTACCACTGCAATGCCCAGACACCCAGGTGAGGGGCTGAGGGTCAGGGGTGGGACTTGAATCCCTGTGGTGGCTGTTGTGCTGCCAGCTTCCAGGAGGGGCATGGGATGGGAGCCAAAAGTCCAGGCCAGTGCCCCAAGGACCTGTCCCAGAGCCTGGCAGGGCTGGGAACCCAGGTGTCTGAGAGGGACAAGGGACCCCAGATATAGTAGGGGCTAGGGTAGGGACAAGGTGATGGAATAGGGGACCTAGGTGTCTTGAGGAGTAGGTAGATTCACTTGCTACCAGGACTAGGAACCCAGGTGTGAGTGGGAGAAGGGACTTCTGCCCCAGTAAGATGGACTGGTGGTAAGGCCCCGGGCACCTGGGTGGCAGGTGTGATGCTGCTTCAGGGAGGGGCAGGAGCAAGGCACAGACAGGCCTGGAGACCCTGGTTTCTGGGTGTTCCTCCCTGTGACCCCATGGCTTCCCCCCATGTGGCAGCGGCGAGGCAGGCTTCAAGGCCATGACGCAGGCACTGGGTTGGGCCCGTCGCCCCATGCTGGAACGGATCCACCTGCTGCCAACGGCCCTGCCCATCACGCTCATCTATGGCGCCGAGTCCTGGATCGACACCAGCACTGGGCGTCGGGTCAAGGAGCTGCGGCCTGGCAGCTACGTGCGGCACCTGGTACGGCATGGGGGGCCGGGGCTGGGGGATTTGGGAGTTGGGGTAGGAATGAGGAGCATGGGAGGGCCAGGAGGGGCTGTGTGATGGGGTACATCTACCACCCCTCTACCCAGTGAGGGGTGTGGAACTGCCCAGTGGGTGGGAAGGCTGTAGTGACTGCTCTCTCCTGACGCTCCTCTTTTCCTCCCTTCCCCTTGGCAGGCCATCACCGGCGCATCCCACCACGTGTACGCCGACCAGCCAGCCGCCTTCAATGCAGCCGTGCGGGAGATCTGTGATGCTGTTGACTGACAGGGGGCAGGCCCCAGATTGGAGGGGGGGACATGGAGCTGAGCCTGGCCTCACACAGGCCCCCCCCCATGCATTGTGAAGTGGACATGGGTTCAGCATCCTCTGCTGCGCGGGGCTTCGTGCCTGTTTCTTA